CAGCGCCGATTGCGGCGCCATGCCAAGGCATGGCGCATTTGCGGGCTGCGCCATGCCTTGGCTGCATGGCGCAGCGCCGATTGCGGCGCCATGCCTTGGCATGGCGCATTTGCGGGCTGCGCCATGCCTTGGCTGCATGGCGCAGCGCCGATTGCGGCGCCATGCCAAGGCATGGCGCATTTGCGGGCTGCGCCATGCCTTGGCTGCATGGCGCAGCGCCGATTGCGGCGCCATGTCTTGGCATGGCGCATTTGCGGGCTGCGCCATGCCTTGGCTGCATGGCGCAGCGCCGATTGCGGCGCCATGCTCGTGTAGGGAACTATAGGCGCACACAACAATGACTACGATGTGAAGACCACGGGTCGGGGACATACCTATATGGGGCGCTGCGCACCATTGTCGACAGATCAGCGTTCACCAGGGTGACTACTAACTTGGTGTTATGATCTGTTGGTGTGATTAGGGTTAGGAGGTAGCGGGACGATTTGGGTAAGGGAATTGGGTTGGGAACTACAGAAATTGGTTGTGTTGTACGTTCAAATCTGAGTCATACAGGGTACGTACGGTGTACATCGCGGATGTTCTGACGAGTTACCAGTTGGGATTTCGGAATGCACTGTTCATTACCATTCTGGAAATAATGTTGACCAAACTGGCACGTTGGTTACCATGGAGGCAATCGGAAGATACTTTAGTTACGATTCGGACACGTGGCTTACCTTGCGTGCGATCGACCCCAATGAGTGTTACCGCTAAGATAAATGCCCTAACTTGTGAATTCAGTTAGTGGCGGTGGTTTGCCCCTTCCATTCAGCAACTCGCGCCGCAATGCTGAGTTCAGATTTCTGGCGTGGCTAGCTGACAATGCGAATGCGGCGCGGCTCGGCCCTTCCTCACACATCACGCCCCGCCCAGCCAGCGCTACCCCGTTTCAACTTTCAAGCAGGACCCCCTCCCCCAGCCCCTCACATGGCGGAAAACGCGTCACCGCGCGCCCCGCTCGACACCTTGCCCCGTCTCAACTTTCAAGCAAACCACACATGGCACAAAAACAGCCACCATCCCAACCACCCCGTCACCAGGTTTCTGTGTGTGTTTCACCTGGCATCATGTGATGATGGAAATTTGATTCGTCACCGCCTACGGCATCAAGACCCCAAACCGAGCGTTGCAAGCAGAGAGCGGCAGCAGCAACACACTCGGGCAGGACGCAGTTCGCCATTGGGGTTGCATTGCGTTGCATCATGGAGGCACCTAAGGGAAAGGGAGGCAGAAAGGGGAAAACGTACGGCAGAAATCCCGGGCTTGGGGTTCGCGCAACGCGCATCCAATCCCGAGACGCGTCATCTGAGGGCAATCTCGATGGCAGCCTTTCCAGCTGTCCACGTGACCGTCGATCACCTGTTCGTCTTGCATCCATCCGTCCACCCCTCCACCAGACATCACATGTGCTCTCCAGCCCCTCTCCCCTTCCGTCGACAACTAGACACCCCTCGACATCAGCTTTCCCTCACTCCCTCGCTCCCCCCTGCGTCCCTCGATGTGTGTTTTACAGCGCTATCGGGGCTTGTATTTGACCTCAGTTCCCTCAAGCCCAACCTCAGGGATTCCTATTTTATCTTCGTACGTCTTGCTAGTTGATTTAGCAGCTTGAACGGGCTACTGAAGAACGGCTGGTATTCTCTCTTCATACTTTGTGTAGCTTCTCATCCTTTCTCCTTTCGCCAACGCAACAACAGCATTCGTACTCAGAACTTTCGCCAACGCAACAACAGCAAACCCGTTCGTACTCAGAACTTGAGCCTTCGGAATTTGTCCTCCCAAGCAGTTCAAAGCGACAGCCATGGATTTAGGCCTCTCAGACCTCGTAGCATGGAACTTACGGCACCACGTCCCCGCACCCACGCATCGCGGTAGCGTGCCCGCTCAGGGCTCGTCCGACAAGCCCGAGCCTGGCACCGAGCCGAACGCCGAGCCTTTCGCAAAGCGGCGCCGCCTCGAGGAGCCCTCTTTGATGCTTCCGGACCTGGAAGCGGACTGCAGCTCTGACGTCAGCACTTCATCCGCGGAGCACGCAACCGAACGGACGCTTCAGCCGGCGCTACAGCCGCAACGGCAGCAGCAGCAGCAGCAGAGGCCGGCGTCCCTGTCGGATTTGAGCGAGGACCTTTTATTGAAGGTGCTTCAATCGGGGCATCCGACGGCATGGGATTTGTGCCGGTTCTCGTGCGTGAGCCGGCAGTGGAAGCAGCTGTGCTACAGCCGCGTGTTTTGGACCAAGCTCCGCATCGGCCCGGGCAGCATGCATCCAGGTACGTCCCGCCTTTCTCCGAGCCGCTTCTTTCCGGCGCGCCTTTTGCCGACGCGCCTGACGCAGATTCAACGTCTGCAGCATCGTCTACGCTGGAAACACTTGCGACACGTGTAGTACGTTCGATGTGAAACCACAAAAAGTCACCGCGAAGTCCGTCCTCGTAGAGCCCGACTCTCAACATTCGAATCAGTTCGAGGCGGCTTTCATGCGCCCGAAGAAATTCGTGATTCTCCAAGGGTCCTTGCGCCCCTCTCGTGCAATATGTTTTTTTTTTTTAGCGCGTCACCAAGTCGCGAATTCTTCACTTTAACTCTTCGAAAGCACCATCTAGAATAGAAGTCGGAAGTGACACTGATGTCGCCCCCTTCCTCCTCTCCTCGCCCACCCCTCTCGCTTCGTTTTATCTCAGGCGTGGAGCTGCTCGCGGCGCGCTGCGCCAACCTGACGGACCTCTACGTGGACGACCCGCGGTGCGAGCTACACATCCTGCACCCAATCATCGTCGCATGCAGCGACTCGCTGCGACGCATCGTCATCGACTGCGACCGCGACGCGACGAGTCGCAACGAGGCGGCCATCTGCAGCATCCTCTGGATCATCTCGCTCTACTGCAAGAACGTCGAGTCGGTCGAGCTCACATCGCACGGCGTAGAGACGTCCTTCGGTCTGCTCGAGGCGCGTTCCATGTGGTACCTCACGTCGGGATTCCGCTCCATGCGACAGTTTTCGTGCCTCGTGCGAAATAGTGTTACTCGCCAGGCCGTGTACCTGATGGTGATTGGCTGGCGAAACCTGTCGTGTCTGCGCATCCACATGGGGGCGCTAGAGGTCGAAGACCTATTGGCTCTGCGCAAGTGCACGTCTTTAAGGGTTTTGGAATTAGTAGGAGGCTCTATCCACACCCTACCCGCCTCTCTCGGCGCTCTTCCCTCGTCAGCCGCCGCGCCCGCATCCACTTTCCCCTGGCTCGGCACGAGCCGACTCGCCGTAGGCTCGGGAACAGGTTCGGGGACAGGCTCGGGGACGGGTTCGGCAGCGCCGGACGCGTTTCACCCGGAGCTGGAGGTGCTGATTCTGACGGACGTGGACTTTGATGCGGCGGTAGTGGCGACTATCGCGCTCCGGTGTCCCAACTTAAGGCGCATCGTGATTAAGGGCCTGTGCTGCGCCATGTGCGCTGCTGCTGGGTCCGCAGCTGCTGCAGCAGGAAGGGTAGCCGTAGCAGCGCCGGCTGTAGCAGCAGCGCCAGCGTTAGGGGCTGCTGTAGGGGCTGCTGTAGCAGCAGCGCCAACGGTGGGGGCGGCTGTAGCAGCCCCAGCGGTGGGGGCACCTGTAGTAGGAGCAGCAGGGACGGGGATGGTTGCTTCTGCAGCAGCGGTGGCCGCGGTAACAGCTGCAGGGGTAGCAGGGAGGGCAGGAGGGAGTGTGATGGGTTTCCCGGCAGGTGGAACCGTGATGGCCGCAGGAGCAGCTGCAGGGGCAGTAGGAGGAGCAGAGGGAGCAGGAGGAGCAGGAGGAGCAGCAGGGGCAGGGCAAGGGCGAGTGGGGGAGATGAGCGGAAGCTATTCTGGTACCGACCCCAGGAGACTGACCGGGCGCATGGCAGTAGCAGCTGCAATGGATGGCACTGCAGGTGGCGTTTTTGGAAGGCCTGTGCTTGCCAGCGCTGCTGTTCCGTCTGCTGCTGTGCCTGCTGCCGTGCCTGCTGCCATACCTGCCGTTGTTCCTGCTGCCGTGCCTGCTGCTATGCCAGGTGGTGCCGCTGGTGTTGCGAATGATGGTGTTGCGGGTGGGGCGTTATTTCCACCCGTCAACATGACAGCCCGTGCAGCGACGTGGGGTGTGGGTGCAGCACCTTGGGGTGCGCCACCTGTAGTAGCAGGAGCAGCAGCTGTAGCAGCAGCAGGGGCAACACTACCCCCAGTAGCGCCAGTAGTAGCAGGGAACCCACCTCAACCGCCTGTTGCTGCTGCTGTTGCTGCAGGGATGGGTATGGGTGCTAGTGTGGCTGTAGGGGCAACTGCAGGGATGGGAGTGGGTGGAGGGGGTGGGCTGGTGGGGGTGAATCTGTGTGTGAAGGCCAAGGTGCTGGCCCTCAGGCAGATGCTGGCCATGGCAGGGCGGCTAGACATGGTCACGAAATGAACATTTACGGTAGGAGGTAGTTACTCATTTGTAATTAGATTACTGTATGCTTGTGATGTATTGTGTATTCTGTATTGTTGTGAATGTACAGCTGATATAAGCAACCGGAGTGCACAAACAAGAGTCATCAACTAGCCCTCTGCAAGAGAGAAAGAGCTTGCCTTTCTGCACGGAGCAAGCCTTGAGAGCGCCGCACACAGAACCGAAAAACTTGGGCAGGTGGAACTGGGCAGGTGAAGATGCCCTATCAGGGGCAGGCGAAAATGGCCTATCAGGGCAGGCGGAACTGGTCTATCAGGGCAGGCGGAACTGGCCTAGCTTGCCCGGGTTAAATATATTCAGTGGGTCCCATGCAGCCTTGAGTGCTGCCATTGCATCCAGTGCTGCACTCCCATGCTCCAACTCCAAGAATGGCAACTTGCCATAGCTGCTCGGGAGGCAATATTGATGAAGGGGAGAGAATGGGATGAGGCGAGGGAGGGAGGAAGGGGCAGACAGAAGGGAGGGGGTGGGAGAGCATGTTTGTGTGGTGCCGAAGAGATTAAGCGGGTCCCATGCTGCCTTGAGTGCTGCCATAGCTTCCAGTGCTGCCCGCCCATGCTCCGACTCCAAGAATGGTAACTTGCCATAGCTGCTCGGGGGAAATTATTGATGAAGGGGAGAGAGATGATGGAAGGGGAGAGAGATGATGGAAGGGGAGAGAGATGATGGAAGGGGAGGGAGATGATGGAAGGGGAGGGAGATGATGGAAGGGGAGGGAGATGATGGAAGGGGAGGGAGATGATGGAAGGGGAGGGAGATGATGGAAGGGGAGGGAGATGATGGAAGGGGAGGGAGATGATGGAAGGGGAGGGAGATGATGGAAGGGGAGGGAGATGATGGAAGGAGATGAAGATAATGGAAGGAGGAAGGGGCAGACAGAGGGCTGCCTTGAAAGCTGCCATGGCATCCAGTGCTGCGCTCCCATGCTCCGACTCCAAGAATGACAAATTGCCATAGCTGCTCGGGGGATGTGCAAAGGAGTTGAATGGAGGGAAGAAGGAAGGGGGAGATGAGGAGTCGGAAAAGGGGAGATGGGAAAGGGGATAGCGAACAACACAACCGAGCCAGGCTGCCTCCCCAACAGAGTGTAGATTACCTCAATCCAACCCACGCCATGCCACTTGCCACACTCCATGCCACTCACCCAATCCATGCCACTCACTGCATCCCATGCCATGCCATGTGCCATGCCACTCACCCCACGCCGTGCTCGCCGCTGCATGTGCCGCCCACAGCAATGGCACGCGCCACAAGACTGTCGTTGACTCGCTTGACCGCTGCCAGCTCATCCTTATTGTCCGGATCGACCTGTTGCAAGGAAGTTTAGATGGATGGAAAAGACATGGCAGGAATCACTTCTGAGAATTCTCGGTAGTTTGACGGTGGAGTTTAATCAGGTCTGGTGAGAGGCAGCAAGACCGCTGTTGACTCGCTTGACCGCTGCCAGCTCATCGTTATTGTCCGCATCCACCTGTTGCAACGAGCGGACAGACGTGTGGCAGGAAAGGAAGGAAGGATGGAAAGATTTGATATGGTAACAAGCAGCAGGTCCAGGCAGCAAGACTGTTGTTGATTTGCTTGACCAAAGCAAGAGCGTGGAATCTGCCATCCCCAACGTGCCACACACACGCCCCTTACCCCACTATCAGCAATCACGTGCCCCACACAGCCCACTGTTAGCACCTGCTGTCAGCACCTGCTGTCAGCACCCACGTGCTTGACAGATCGACTCACAATGAAGAGCACGTGCAAGTTGCCATCCCCCAAGTGCCCCACTTCTGGCTCACAATGAAGAGCACGTGCAAGTTGCCATCCCCCACGTGCCCCACTTCTGGCTCACAATGAAGAGCACGTGCAAGTTGCCATCCCCCGCATGCCCCACCATGGGCGCCACTAGCTGGTGGGGCATGCGGGGGATGCTTCACATCACCCACATGTTTTACATGCCTCACATGTTTTACATGCCCCACATGTTTTACATGCCCCACATGTTTTACATGCCCCACATGTTTTACATGCCCCACATGTTTTACATGCCTCACATGTTTTACATGCCCCACATGTTTTACATGCCCCACATGTTTTACATGCCCCACATGTTTTACATGCCCCACATGTTTTACATGCCTCACATGTTTTACATGCCCCACATGTTTTACATGCCCCACATGTTTTACATGCCCCACATGTTTTACATGCCCCACATGTTTTACATGCCCCACATGTTTTACATGCCCCACATGTTTTACATGCCCCACATGTTTTACATGCCTCACATGTTTTACATGCCCCACATGTTTTACATGCCCCACATGTTTTACATGCCCCACATGTTTTACATGCCCCACATGTTTTACATGCCTCACATGTTTTACATGCCCCACATGTTTTACATGCCCCACATGTTTTACATGCCCCACATGTTTTACATGCCCCACATGTTTTACATGCCCCACATGTTTTACATGCCCCAAATGCCCCACATGCCCCACATGGCCACATGGCCCACATGCCCCACATGTTTTACATGCCCACATGCCCCACTTGCCCCACATGGCCCACATGGCCCACGTGGTCCACATGGCCCACATGCCCCACATGTTCTACATGCCCACATGGCCCACATGCCTTCAGCTCAACGTACAATGAAGAGCACGTGGAAGTTGCCGTCCCCCACATGGCCCACTATTGGCGCCACCAGCTGAGCCTGCTCTATCTGCTGCTTCGCCAGCACCACCAGCTCTGTGAGACGTGATATAGGCACACACACATCCGCTAGGAGGCTGGGGTAGGGGGGGTGGGAAGGATGGATAGAAAAGAAGAAGAAAGAGAGAGCGAGGTTGGGAAGGGCGTGTGATCGTGGAAGACGAGTTACCAGCTGGGCCTGCCCTATCTGCTGCTTCGCTAAGAGCACCAGCTCTGTGAGCCGCGATATAGGCACACACACGTCCGCTAGCAGGCTGCTAACGAAGGGCTGGGATTGGCAAACGACAGGAGGAGGGGGGTGGTACATTGGGAGGAGAGTGTGAATGTCAGAGACTGGTTACCAGGTGTGCGTGCTCTATCTACTGTTTCGCCAGCAGCACCAGCTCTGTGAGGCGCGATATAGGCACACACAAATCCGCCAGGAGGCTGGGGTAGGGAAACGACGGGACACGGGGGAGAGGGAGATTGGGAAGGGAGTGTCCTTATCAAAGACGAGTCCAGTGCGGATCTGCTGCTTCGCTAGGAGCACCAGCTCTGTGAAGCATGAGATAGGAGCATGCACACATATGCTAGGAAGGTGGATTGGGGGGGTTGGGAGGGATGGATAGAAGACAGTGAGAAGGGGAGAGGGAGGTTAGGAAGGGCGTGTGACAACTGAAGGCTGCAATACCCTCAACTGAAGTCGTGCCTGCTTTATCAGATGCTTCACCTGCAGCACCAGCTCTGTGAGGTGTGAGATAGGAGCATGCCCATCCGCTAGAAAGCATGAGGTGTGACTGAGGACCTGCCTGCTGTGCTGTTGGCTCACCCACCCTTTGCTGTTGGGTCTGAGCGCCAAGGCAGCATAGTAGGCGGAGTGGCGGGCAGCCCAGAGCTTGGATCGCTCCTCAGGAGCCGTCGACCACTCAAACGAGGCCCCCCCATTGCCAGATGCAATCTCCGAAACCTGCTTGGCTTGCTCCTCCACGGCAGCCGCAGTGCCGTGGAACTCAAAGAAGAGCGTGGGGCTTGGGTGCAGGTGCGTCTTGGAGTAGCGATTCACTGCATCTACCTGCGGGGGTTCACGACATGAGACAATAGAGCGCATCATCGCCTGAACCGTATCAACGAGTTCCATGCAGAGAAGAAAGCCCAAAGTTGAGTCGACTCAAAAACAGGTTCAAAACATGAGATGATAGAGCGCACCAGCATCATCACCTGAACCGTATCAACAAGTTCCATGCAGAGAAGAGAGCAGTACGTGACAAGAAAAAATGGTGTTTGGGAATCACAAAAAGTGAAATCTTTGAGCCCCACCTGAACCTCGTCCAGGAGCTCTATGCGTGCGACGGGGATGGCGCTTTGAATGGTCTCTATCACCGCATCCACCTGAGGGGTGAGGGTGAGGGTGAGGGTGAGGGTGAGGGTGAGGGTGAGGGTGAGGGTGAGGGTGAGGGTGAGGGTGAGGGTGAGGGTGAGGGTGAGGGTGAGGGTGTAGGTGAAGGTAAGGGTGAGGGTGAGGGTGAGGGTAAGGAGGGTGCGGGTGCAGCAGGTGCAATGCAGGAGAAATTTGTGGATCAGCTATGTTGGATACGCTTTTCGAGGATTCACAAAAGCGTGACAAGCATGGCGGCTTGAATCGTCTCGATCATTGTGTCCACCTGAGGGTGCGGGTGTGGGTGTGTTGTTTGAGCGACAAAAAAGGTGGAGGGGGAAAAGGCAGAGGGGAAAAGGTGGAAGGAGAAAGGCGGAGGCGGAAAGGTGGGGGGGGAAACGCGGAGGGGAAGGCGGAGGGGGCATTTGGAGGAGGAGAGAGCGTGGAGAGGTGAGTGTACTCACAGCACCAGCAATGGAGGTGAAGGGGCAGACAGCAGCTGAGACAGCCTCGGGTTGGGGATACAGGCGAAGAGCCACCTGCATGCATGGTGCATGTGGCATGGGGCATGGGGCACGGAGCATGATGCATGATGCATGCAGGTTGGGGTACAGGCGAAGTGCCACAAGCAAGCAAGCAGAGTGGATGGGATGGTTGCAGGAGGAAGGGAAACCTGCAGGCACTTTGCATCAGCAAACGCCACCACCACTGCCACCGCCGCCGCCGCCGCCGCCGCCGCCGCCACCGCCACCGCCACCGCCACCGCCACCGCCACCGCCACCGCCACCGCCACCGCCACCGCCACCGCCACCGCCACCGCCACCGCCACCGCCACCGCCACCGCCACCGCCACCGCCACCGCCACCGCCACCGCCACCGCCACCACCACCACCACCACCACCACCACCACCACCACCACCACCACCACCACCACCACCACCACCACCACCACTTGAACCTGCTAAAGCGTCACCTCACACGCTGCTGCCCCATACCTCGGTGACAACAGCCAGTGTGCCCTCGCTCCCCACAATCAGGCGAGTTAAGTCGTAGCTGAAACCATCAATACAGGCGGGCAATGCAGCAAGAGCGAGTGTGTGGAAGGGAGGGAGGGGAGGGTGATGAGGTGGAGAAGGGCGATGAGGGGTACATATGGTGGTGGGCGAGGAGGGAAGAGGGGGAAAAGGGGGAGTGAAGCATGAGGGAGCAGAGCAGGGGGAGGAGAGGTGAATGGCAGGGGAGGGGTGAGTGGGATAAGAGGGGAGAGTGGGGAGAGGGGGGTGGACGGGGGGATAGTGGCTGCTTTGGACGAATGCTTACATTGGTACATTGATACAGGCATTTCTCATTTTGGTAGTCATAGGCAGGCAGTGGAAATGTGAGATGCCTCAAAAGCCACGGATGGGGGCAGTTGTTGTGTTGGGTGCGTGGAGTAATTACAGGCATGCAGTGGAATGGGAGTTTTTGAGACGTCTCAAAAACACCCTCAATTTGCGTGGAGTAATTACAGGCACGCAGTGGAATGGGAGACACAGCGGGCAGCTCACCCTGAGGAGGACTTTCGTGCTCGGCTGCCCGTTTTTATGATCTGCCCGTTGGGCAGCACTGCAGTGACCCCCAGCACTGCCTCTCGCATCGTGCCGTACCTGGTGTGCGGTGGGGCATGGTAGGGCGTGGTGGGACATGGTGGGGCGTGGTGGGGCATGGTGGGGCGTGGTGGGGCATGGTGGGGCGTGGTGGGGCATGGTGAGGTGTGGTGGTGAGTAGACGATATTTAAAGGGGGAAAATAGGTGGGGAGTGGGAAAAAGAGCAGGAAGGGGGGGGGAAGGGGAAAGGGGGAAAGGGAGCAGGAAGGTGGGAATGGAATAAGAGGTATGGAATGCGAAACATAACATGGCATGGGGAGAGAAGGCATGGCATGGGATGGCATGGAATGATGGCAGAGCATACCGAACAGCATTGGTGCCTGAAGCTCTTGTTGCTGTCATCCCCCCTGTAGTTGTGCGCACTCACACACATGGTAAGGCACGCATAGGGGGGGAGAGAGAGACACACGGGGGGAGGAGAAGACGTGCTGTGGCTGCGTGGCATGCTGCCATGTACAGTACAAGGTTGGTTTGAATTCTGGAGTTATATTGATAACTGTTTGTACCTATGGTGCATTCCGAGCCTGCCACGCACCTATGGCGCATTCCGAGCCTACCACTCACCTATGGTGCATTCCGAGCCTGCCACTCACCTATGGTGCATTCCGAGCCTGCCACGCACCTATGGTGCATTCCGAGCCTGCCACGCACCTATGGTGCATTCCGAGCCTGCCACCCACCTATGGTGCATTCCGAGCCTGCCACTCACCTATGGTGCATTCCGAACCTACCACTCACCTATGGTGCATTCCGAGCCTGCCACGCACCTATGGTGCATTCCGAGCCTGCCACCCACCTATGGTGCATTCCGAGCCTGCCACTCACCTATGGTGCATTCCGAGCCTACCACTCACCAATGGTGCATTCCGAGCCTGCCACTCACCAATGGTGCATTCCGAGCCTGCCACTCACCTACGGTGCACTCCGAGCCTGCCACTCACCTACGGTGCACTACGAGCCTACCACTCACCTATGGTGCATTCCGAGCCTGGGTCAACGGGGAAAAAGAGGCCCGAGTCGTGCAGATGGTGGTTGAGCTGCTGACGTGTCACCCCTGCCTGCACCCTGCAGTCCATGTCCTCTGCATGTACCTCCACCACCTGAAGACAAAAAGAACAAAAGCACAAGGGGGTGCAGGATTGACAAGCTTATCACCCGTGCCTGGATTCTGCAGTCCATGTCCTCTGCATGCACCTCCACCACCTGAAGACAAAAAGGAATAAGACAAACCATTTCCAAGCCACAAAAATTCCGAGGTGATTGAAAAAATGACTGGAGTAACACCCTGCACTCTGCTCTCTCCACTCTCCATTCTCCACTCTCCATTCTCCACTCTCCATTCTCCACTCCCCACTCTCCAATCTCCACTCTCCATTCTCCACTCTCCACTCTCCATTCTCCACTCCCCACTCTCCAATCCGCACAACTTCATCATCACCTGCTCGACCATGCGCCACCGTTACCTGGTAACCGCACCGTACCTCATTCATCTGCGACAGGTCAATGGAGACGCCTCCACAGAGCGCTGCCACGTGGCCTTCCAAAGACGTGCCGGCGCCATAGGGAATGACGGGCACGCGGGCGGCAGCGCACGCGGTTACCAGCTGTTGCACTTGGTGGGTGGAGCGGGCGAATGCGACCGCGTCTGGTGGGACAGCCTCGTGGTATGACTCGTCCCTGCCATGCTGCTCCAACACCTGTTGTTGACATGGTAACATAGGGAATAACGGGCATGCAGGAGCGCACGCGGTTACCAGCTGTTGCACTTGGTGGGTGGAGCGGGCGAATGCGACCGCGTCTGGTGGGACAGCCTCGTGGTATGACTCGTCCCTGCCATGCTGCTCCAACACCTGTTGTTGACATGGTAACATAGGGGATAACGGGCATGCAGGAGCGCACGCGGTTACCAGCTGTTGCACTTGGTGGGTGGAGCGGGCGAATGCGACCGCGTCTGGTGGCACAGCCTCGTGGTATGACTCGTCCCTGCCGTGCTGCTCCAACACCTGCTGACATGGCAACATACATAGGGAATGACGGATATACACGCGGGAGCACATGTGATGATGATGCCATAATGCCATGCAATCAATCATCTCACCATGCTAAGCCACCATACCATCATGCCACCATTCACGCAACCCACCATACATTCCCCACGTAAATTCCACAATTTAAGCATACCAGGTGCGTGTATTCCGATTACCGACGTATTTTCCCATGATTCTGGCATCCCACGTAAATTCCCAATAACCAAGCATCCCACGTGAATTCCCGCTATTCAAGCATCCCACGTATATTCCCATTTTTTAGGCATCCCACGTTTATTCCCATTATTCAAGCATTCCACGTTCACTCCCATTACTTAAGCATTCCACGTTTACTCCCGTCACTCAGCATCCTCTGTATGCTCCCAATCCCACCGTTCGGTTCGTCGACACGTTTGAGTCGCCCACGATGGATCGCAAGCGACGCAGGAATTCGTCGTCCACTCGCCCGTACGACGTCCATCGCACAGCAGGAACGTCGCAGAGGCTCCAGTTCACGGGGTTGTCGCCAGGGTTGATGTTTCCGCATCGCCTGGTAGTCGCAGGAGATGCGTCGATTTCTGACTTTTGAGTCGACTCAAAAGTGTTTCCGCATCGCCCGTTAGCAGCAGGAGACGCGTCGGTTTCCGGAGAATCTGCTACCCCTGCCGACGTCCGTCTTTGTAAGTCTGTTGCCGATTCCGGGTCGCGACTCCTGTTCGCGACGTCGCTACTACTACTGTAACTCCGTTTCGCATCGTGACCGTAACGCCTTCGCCAACTCGCAACGGCGTCGCTACTATCGTCGCTTTTCCCAGCAGCACACGGGCCGTTTCGGCGACTCCTCCGAGGAGTCCTAGCGTCAAGGTCGTAACTGCACAATAGCGATTCCCACTGGTCGATTCCAAGAGAACAGTCGAAATTGAAGGAGCTCGCTGATTTCTCCAGAAAAAGAGGACCCGACAACGGCGGAGATTGAATGTGCGCGCGACGCGCTACGGGAGGAGATTGGTGGCTAGTGGTAGTGAGGCTGGAATCAGCAAAGAACGCCACGATGCTCCTGCCGGCGCGTTGCAAGAACCGCGGCGAAGCGCAACGAGCAGAACATGGGATCATGATAACGGCTACTAGGTGCGAAGCGCTCGGCGAAGAGAGAATCGTCACGGGTCACGCTTCCATGACAGGCTGACGTAGTGGGCTAGAAATGCCTGGGAATCTGGGGGCCTCGATGTGGGTGCCTTGGTGTTGCCGAAATATTCTCTCTGTTGAATGACTCTGGTTTCGGATTGTGGTTGGCATTCGACTGCAATGTAACGGGTACTTCATATATTTTCGTCCGTAATCAACGTAAACGGAGTACACTCGCGTTTCCGAATTTGCGATGTGATGTTCATAAGCCTGATTCTAATGTGTGGAGGCGAGGATATTTCTGATTGGCTTAGCTTTGCGTGTGTCGCGCGTTGGCCCTTAGTTTGGCCTTTGCGTATTTCGCGCGTTGGGCCTTGCTTGGTTTGGCCTTCGCGTGTTTCGCGGGTTGCACAGTTTAATTTTGCTCAGAACACGTGAACATTGCTTGTTTGAAATCCCGGACTGGAGAATGGAGACTTGGGGGGATCGAGCATTCCTCCACACCCCGTACGCTTCCTTTGCCCAGACACCCTATATGGTTTTCGATTCGACTGTACGGGCACCCTGACATTACAGGTCTAACAATAAATACGGTAATCAGAAAGCCAGACTCGCGATACTCACACTTACAGAAGGATTGAGTGGGAAATCAATTCTGAAAGTTTGTACTTCCGGAAATCACGCGAAGAGAACGCGTCTTTCTAATCACAAGAACTCGAATCTTGATGCTAACCACCTTCGAAATCAAATTTGATGAGGAAGGTTACCCAGAGGCGTGAAGAAGTATCGCAGTACAGGTCATACTGTTTTTCCAACGCTAGCTGCCAAGACAAGTCAGCCGCGCACGGGGACGAGGGCAGGTGAAGCAAGATGAGCATTCAATGTCGCACATGATCATCCAATGAAAATATATCACACAGCTTGCAGATCGGGAGAAAGAAAACGTGTGGGTGGTTGGAGGTACGCGCACAAGGAAATGCGTAGAGCAAACTCTGCAGATCCGTAGTGTATTATGCACGGATGGCATCACAAAAATTCTTGAAAAATCAATTATAGTACATATCGAAACTCTGAACCGTGCCTGGGACAGGAAGGCAAAGAACTGTACAGTTTCGAACCGGTGGGAAAGTCTAGACGGTGCACATCTGAAACCCTGATGCGTGCCCGTGACGAGGAAGATAAGAACAGGATTCAACTGACGGGATTGGCTGACCACTTGCGCTTGTCCACTGTCCGCACAAATTGTTCCACCACCCCTCCCCCACCAGTGTAAACCAGAAGCACAAAACCAGCCCATTTGGGGTTGAGCAACAGAAGTTGAAATTGTGTAGCGGCAATCCATTCAATCTTTCTAGTTTGTTCAGCAGCCAGTTGCACCAAGGTCCGAGTTCTGTTAGTATTACTACTACTAGTAGGCGACTCATAGTCATTACGGTATCCAGCTCGAGCCACAGGGCACACCGTGAGTGTGAGTGCTCCCCGTGGTGGCAACAGTCGGGCGAAATACTGGGGATTTAACCAGTTCATCTCCTTCAGTTTCGGCCACGAAATTAGACCAGCAGCGTGATAAATCCAGTCTCTCTCTTCTTGGAATTTATGGGGGTAGACCTTCAGTTCTGACTCACTAGTAGTACTAGTACTAGTAGGAGCCGCATCAGACCTCCGTTTTCCGGGAGAGCTTCTGAAAATAGGTGATAACCCGCCGGGACACCTAGCAGATGTCACAGCAGCAGATGTCACAGCAGCAGATGTCACAGCAGCAGATGTCACAGCAGCAGATGTCACAGCAGCAGATGTCACAGCGACAGATGTCACAGCAGCACTGGTCACAGCAGCAGATGTCACAGCAGCAGATGTCACAGCATCAGATCTCACAGCAGCAGATCTCACAGCAACAGATATCACAGCATCAGATGTCACAGCAGCAGACGGCACAGCAGCAGATGTCACAGCATCAGATGTCACAGCAGCAGACGGCACAGCAGCAGACGTCACTACAGCCACAACCACAGCCACAGCCACAGCTACATTCACAGCCAGAGCTACAGGTTCAGCCAGAGCAGCTACCACCACACCGGATCCAGCAGCTCTCCTCTCAGCTACAGCCGCTGCTACAGCCGCATTTGCCGCAAGCACTAGAACAGGATGAGGCTGCCACTGGTGCAGGGCCATCAGGGCCATTGGGGTCATTAGAGCCATTAACGCGTGGAACCAGGCGCACCAGATTGCCGCAGAGCCGCAACTACAACCAGCCAGGGCGGTACCGGGGAGTTCGGAAGCGGGGGGAGTTTCGTTACATTGCAGAGATCAAAGATACCAATAGCGGGGTCCGCCAGTGGTTGGGTACGTTCCGTTCTGCAGAGGACGCTGCTAGGGCGTTTGATGAAGCTGCTCTGAAAATCCGAGGAGCAAAGGCGAAGCTTAACTTCCCAAGACGGTATCTTCAGAAAGGGGGAGGGGCAGTAGCACTGGGCTCGGATCCTGCAGCCTCATTGGGTGCAGCAACAAGGATGGAAACAGCAGGAAGGGTTGCAGGGCAGGATGATGGAGAGACTGGCATGTTAGTGCAATCACATGGGGTAGTAACGCAGGTTACGGAGGGCAGTAGTGCTAGGAGCTGTGGAGGGAAAGGGAAGGAGGTAGGATATGGTGAAGAATCTGCAGCAGGGGGATTGGTGGGAGTCGGTGTGGGTCAGACGATGCAGAGAGAGGGAAGACGTGGGGAAGTAACAGCGGCCTTTGCGGTGCCTCACAGGCCGTTTGGAGAGGGATCAAGTAGAGAAGTAGCAGCGAGCTTTGCGGCACCTCGGAGGCCGTTTGGAGAGGGATCAAGTAGGGCTGTGACAGAATCAATAGACGATGCAGGTGCAGGATCAGAGGCCATGGGGAGGGATTCATCTGCACTGGTAGGAGGGGAATGCGGAGGAGGAGAAAGAGGAAGAGGAAGAGGAAGAGGAAGGGGAAGGGGAAGAGGAAGAGGACGTGGGAGGGGAGGAGTAAGTGGAAGAACAGGAGAGGGGGGGAGAGGAGGAGGAGAAGGAGGAGGAGGAGGAGGAGGAGGAGGAGGAGGAGGAGGAGGAGGAGGAGGAGGAGGAGGAGGAGGAGAAGGAGGAGGAGGAGGAGGAGGAGGAGGAGGAGGAGGAGGAGGAGGAGGAGGAGGAGGAGGAGGAGGAGGAGGCGGAGGCGGAGGCGGAGGCGGAGGAGGAGGAGAAGCATTACTAGCCGCAGAAACGTCAGCAGGCAGTGATAGTGGGAGCAAAGCAGGAGGAGTATACATTCCTGAAAGAAGCTCCACTGTAAGCGGTAGTAGCTCAAGCTTAGCTGCCCCTTCCTCCTCCTCCGCCGCTTCCACCTCTGCCAATTCCGCCTCTGTCTCTGCCCTCCCATCCACCTTTGTTGATATCTCAGTCCCTGAAGCTGCACACACCAGTGGCGTTCATATCCATGCCACTCTCCCCACTCACACCTCAGAATGCAACCCAGTGTTTATTGGTCCCACCCTGAATTGCCACTCAGTCCTACTGGCGGAGATGCCTAGTGCGATGATAACTGGGCTGGGGATTTTGGGATTGGACTCACTGGGAGCAGATCTGGCCGGGTTTGAGGAGATGAATTTTGAGGAGATGGAATTTGAGGGTTTGGCAGATGGTGAGGGGGAGTGGAGCTCTTTACTTGCAGAGCAGTTTGCACAGCAGCTGGGGGCAATTGACGAAACCGATGGGGCTGGGGGGAGTGGGGTTGGTGCTGCAAAAAGCAAGGAGTGGGTGGAAGGCAAGGAGGGAGTGGAAGGCAAGGAGGGAGTGGAAGAACGGGAGATGCTTTCAGATGAAGAAAGCAGTGGAAGCAGAGAGACTTCAGATGGGGAACGGGCAATGGAGGAAGGCGGAGCAATGGAGGAGGAAGAGGGTGCGATGGAGACATGGACGGGAATAGACGAGCGTTTAACGATGGAAATGGGGCCGCCTGATCGATACTTCCAGCTGCCCAGCGACAAGGATGTTCCTCATGAAAGCAGTAAGCAAATCCTGAAAACTGAAGGGATGGAGAGACAGCAAGGAGGCTGGACAGTGTCTGAGGGTAACTACATGATGGCAATTCAGCCGAGACAACAGGCGGTGCCATCGCAAGTAGGGATGGAGGGGCAGGAAGGTGGCTGCACAACATCTGAGGGTGAAAACGGCTGTGGTAACTACATGATGGGAATGCAGGCAAGCCACCAGGCGGTGCCGTTCCAAGCTGCCCAGACTGCCCAGACTGCACCATCTGTTCCATCATCCTCCCAATGGCACCAGCCAGGTCAACGGGGAGAATGGGGCGAGCAGGGTCAAGCGGTCCGAGGGGCAGGTGTGGCGGTGGGTGTGGCAGCAGCAGGACCATCCGGCCATCTAGGCGTGGAGCAGATGCGTACTCCAGTAGAAACCTCAGCACTGGCAGCGGGGCTGCACGCAGTGACAGGGGAGGATGCATTGGCAAGGCAGCAAGCATTGGCTAAGCCGCAATCAGCAGGGCTGCCAGTCCCAAGCGAGCCACGAGCCGCTTCATGGGGTTTCAGTGTAGAAGTGTCCGAGGGATTAATGGCGCCTGGTGGGGATAGTTTTCTGCAAGAAGCGAAGGAGGAGGTGGAGGTACCCTGCATGACAGGTTCAGCTTCAAGCTTGCCTTCAAGTTGGCATGCTGAAACGATGCAGTATGCGCATGCCATGATGCCTCCTTTTGGGCCGTTTCAAGGGCATGATCCCAGCGCGCAGATCATCAGCGCGTGGCATAATCCCAGCGTGCGGTGTGCTTTTACCATGACCCGCAGATCATCAGTTGTTGTGATTCCGCACGTACGTCAACATCACGAGAGCCACCAGCAGCAGCAGCAGCAGCAGCAGCAGCAGCAGCAGCAGCAGCAGCAGCAGCAGCAGCAGCAGCAGCAGCAGCAGCAGCAGCAGCAGCAGCAGCAGCAGCAGCAGCAGCATCACCAGAACCCGCAGCAGCAGCAGCAGCAGCAGCAGCAGCATCACCAGAACCCGCAGCAGCAGTGGCAGCAGCAGCAGCAGCTGGGACAGGAACAACAGCAGGGACACCAGCATGAGCAGCACCATCGGGAGCAACAGCAGCTGCATGCATCTAGCTTCCCAAGACGCAACTCTCTCAATCTCAGCACTGGCAGTAGAGGTAAGGCAGCTGCACAGTGTGCTTCGACCGACCTTTTACACCCTAGACGTTTGGAAGCATTATCCGTGGAAGAGTGGAGGGAGCAGCAGATGTTTGGAAGCCACACCCTAGACTCGGAAAGAGACAACATAAATTTCCATCCTTACAGTCCTTGGACCGAGCCTCAACCCAAGCCTGATCCCGAACCTCCCTCCGGACCTGTACCTCTGATGCTCCGTAGCCACACTGTATGTTCTCTGCTGGAGCCACCGGTGGTCGGATTTTCAACCCCTAAGTCCCAGCCCTGTGTGGGAAACACAGGTAGTGTGAGTGGTGTGAGTGGTGTGAGTGGTACAAATGGTGCTGATGTTGCTGATGGTATGGTTATAGCTGGCCCAATGGATAGTGTAGCTGCTGCAGCTGCCAATGTGGGTAGTAGGAATGGCTTGGATACCCCAGTAAATGTCTCTGCCGGTGTGGCTGCCAATGTGGGGAGTGGGAATGGGGTGGATATTGCCGTGACGCCTACTGCCTGTGTTGCTGGTGACGCTGATGGTGCTAAACCTGTTATTGATGTGGATGGTATGGCTGGTGTGGCTGGTGTTGCTGGTGTTTCTGGTGCTGCTATTGTTGCTGGTCTTTCTGGTATTGCTGCCGCGCCTGGGGTGGCTGGGCTGACATCCTCTCCAGACTGCTCTCCCAAACCAATCTCGACCATCCCTCTGCGCAGGGTGAGGCGATCCCAGTCCCATGACCAGGAACCAATGGGAGCTGGGCAGCTGGGTAGGCAACTGCTGCGTGCGTCTACATTCAAGCCAATAATTCCAGCCAGCAAGTACGCGCAGGAGCTGCACAAACGACTGGAGAAGCAGCCTTGGATGCGCGCCAGGAGGCCCGGAGAAGGGGTGCTGCAGCAGAGGCGGATGGGGGGGCAGCAGAGGTTGTTGCTGGATGAAATGCAGATGGCACAGCAGCAGCATCAGCAACAGCAGATGCAGCAGCAGCAGCAGCATCAGCAACAGCAGTCAATGCAGTGGCATTCTTCAATTCAGCAGCAGCAATTGAAGTTGATGCACCAGCAAGAGGAGCTGCAACTGCTGCAGCAGCACCAGGAGCAGCTCACTCGTTTCCAGCACCATCTGCTCTTCCGCAGTCAGTCCACTCCCCCCACGACACATGCTGCCCTCACCTCCTCTGCAATGACCTCTACTGCCAGCACTGCTGGTGGTGGCATCGCTTCTGGGGCAACTGCTGGCACTGCTGCTGCCACTGCTGCTGGCACTGCTGCTGGCACTGCTGCTGGCACTGCTGCTGGTGGTATGGCCTCTGGTGCTGTAGTCAGAGCAAGTGCTGCCACCGCTGCTGGCACTGCTGCAGCCACCGGTGGTGGTGGTGTTGCCTCTGGTGCTGTTGCCACAGCTGGTGCTGCCACCGCTGCTGGCACTGCTGGTGGTGTTGCCTCTGGTGTTGTTGCCACAGCTGGTGCTGCCACCGCTGCAAGCACTGCTTCATCCACTGGTGGTGGTGGTGTTGCCTCTGGTGCTGTTGCCACAGCAGGTGCTGTCGCCACAGCAGGTGCTGGTGCTGCAGTCTTGCACTCGCACCATGTGCTTCTTTCCCCCGCCTCTCCACCCACCACCTTGCATGGATACAGCCACACAGAGACGTGAGGTGTTGATGCCTTGGAGCATCGTGCCTCTAAGGAAATCAGTGGCTACGAGACTCGCGGTGCTGGCAGCAGTGAAGGAGATGTTGTAATGCAAGAGAATGCGACAAAGGCCTTCAAGCCTGCACACAATGCTGGTGCTGCCGCCGACCAGTCCTGTGGCGACGAGCCGAGTGGTGACCAGGCGGGTGGTGACCAGTTGTGTTCTGCCCAGCAGCATGTCATCTCAGGCTTGAGTCTTCCTCTTCCTCACCCCTCAGCCAGCTTGTCGCTCCTGAGAGACACGGAACACTCTGCTCTTGCTGCTCGGGGCCTCATCTCCCCATCATCTCGCATCCAGAAGACAGCCTGTCACAGCTTCAAGAATCATGTCGATGCTGCCCCCTTTACAGAACATTTAGGAGTCACGAGAGGAGGTTTGGAGGTTGGAGGACAGGCTACAGGTACAGGAGGGTTGTCGTACATCAACTGCCAGACAGGCTACACAAGGAATTTCGAGCATGAAGCATCAACGACCCCTGGTGCTGAAACCTACACCGTTGATGCACTAGAGAGGTTCTTGATGGATCATGGGGAGCATAGGGAATATGAGTAGGGGTGAATTACATGTATTTTCCTCTTCTTTTTAATCAATAGGCATTTTTTTGTTGTCATTGATTTGTACTAAAAGTGTGTTTTGTGTGTGTGTGTGTGACTGAGTGTGTGACTGTGAGTGAGTGAGTGTGTGAGTGTGTGTGCGTGCGTGCGTGTGTGTGTGTGTGAGTGTGTGTGTGTGTGTGTGCGTATGCGTGCGTGTGTGTGTGTGTGTGTGCGTGCGTGTATGTGTGTGTGTGTTTGGATGCATGTGTGCGTGTGCGCATAGGAAATGACCATTGGAAAGGTATGATGGGCACCCGGGAGCGAAGGCAGCTACCACCTGATGCTCTTGGTGTGTGGAGTGCGTGAATGGGATTGCGTCTGCATGGTGGGGTGTGGTGTGGTGGGGCATGGTGGGGTGTGGTGGGCGTGGTGGGGGGAGGTAGCGAGAGCAGCAGAGCTGGTGAAAGAGGGGCTGGGGTAGGGGGATGGGGAAGGGGACATGGGGAATGCGAACTGCGGAGGACTGCGGAGGGGAAAGCGCAATGGGGATTGAGAAAGGGAAAATGGCAATTGCGGAAGGGGACAAGGGAAGGAGGAATCGGAATTCGGGGAAGGGGGAAAGAGAAAGGTCAGAAGGAAGGGAAAATGGGGAAGGGGAAAAAGGGAAGGGGAAACTGGGCAGTGGGCATGGGGAAGGGGGAATAGGAAGCAGAACTAAGAAAGTACGCATGTCATGTGATGGCATGGGATGGGATGATGGCTTGGGATGATGGCATGGGATAGCATGGGAAGGCATGGGTCATGGGATGATAATGGCATACCGAACAACATTGGTGCCTGATGCTCTTGTTGCTGTCATCCCCCGTGCACTTGTGCTACCTCGTTTTCAACGTTGTCAGAGCAGTGTTGATTCGTGTGGCGGGGAATGTATGCGCGCTTCTGAAATTACAGGATGGTTGGACTCCACTCACAATGCATTCGTTTATAGGTACGGTAGTCATTTCTGAACCTCGATACGTGCGTTGGCACGAAAAATCCCGAAATGAACGAACTGGACACGCCCTAACCCTTGCAAACTTCGTCAATGTACACGAACTGTTTACATCGGAGTACAGTAGTACACTTGCATTGGCGAAAAACTAAGCGGGCGAGGCTTGAGGGCGCGTTTTTATCGCGTGTCAGACGTGAAGTCAAAGCTTCGGAAGACACAAAGTGACTCGGTTTGTGTCTTCCGAACCTAAATTTGCCAGCATTCCGAGTCCCTTTGGGTCTGCCCAACCTCAACTTCGTGTCTGGCTTCGTGTCTGACACGGGATAGAAACGCACCCTGAGCCTGCGGCGCATCCTAACACATCCATGTGACATTCGCCACATGAAATTTAGGGTTTTGAGTTTAGCACGCACTGTTACTGAACTTCTTCGCTCCCAGTGCAGCTACAGTGCTTCTGGCGCACTGTTACTGCTCTGTTTTCGCTCACAACGCAGAGTTAGCTCCTTTCAACGCACTTTTGATTTCATTGGTCCACACATGGCTCATAACTTCAAACCGATCCTTTGATTTGTTTTTAGTGCTAAAACTTTTACATACCCTTTTAAAAAGGAGAAACTACCCTAAACACCTTCCGAATGGTGTTTAGGGTTGATGCTCTATCCAGACCAGCCGTCGAAAAAAAAACTCGTTGGGAAGGTCATCATTCCTAAACACCTTGTCTCCCGGTGTTTAGGGTTGATGTCTCCCTCGAAAAACATGCCACCCGATAGGGTTTAATTTTTTAATGCCCGAAATGCTTTCGTTTGACGGTTCTGTGGCCGCCAACCAAAGAAGAGTAATCGGCCCGTCAAGTCTACGACCAATGAAAGCAAAACTGCGTTGAAAGGAGCTAATTCTGCGTTGTGAGCGTAAAATGGGCAGTAACAGTGCGCCAGAAGCCTTGTAGATGCGCGGGGAGAAAATATGATAAGTAACAGTGCGTGCGCAACTCAAAACCCTGAAATTTACGAGCGTCGAGCGTGTACAGTACACGTCAATGCTGACTTCCTCTTGGCGCGTCGAGAGTGTTGAAAACTGTGTACTTCCACGTCATGACTGATGCCGGTCCCGTGCGTACTGACATCCGGATTGAAAAAACACGGTTTAGGTCGGTAAGTGCTGTTTCAGAATGGTTTATTTATCCGACACTAATAGGACACGATCAGCCTGCTAGTTATGCACGGTTCAGGGGGTGTAGTCTCCATTTCCCGCAGTTTCAACAAGGTTGCTGGAGGAGCACTGTCCAGTGGACAGTGTCCCCTGCTGAGCCGATTCCAAATCAGGTGGAGTGGAACGCCCCGAAACCACAAAAAGGTCAGGCCAAGCCGAACGCGCAGAACACGCAAAACCAAGCCAATAACATCACGCCACAAAGGCATCGCCCTGTCAGCAGCGCATTTCATGGCACACATATTGCAAACAACGCGCGAAACCTCTACCCTGAGAAATCAATCAGCTTCTCCAATGTCTGCAGTTCTGATTCGTCACGAGATTTTAACGGGCTTTCGTCAGTATTTGTCGACTCTATGCGACATTGGCGAATCTGGATACCGCAAAGTGTAATCGAATTCCGCATGAAATAAAACCCTGAAACGTCTCCGTGACGTGACGGCAAAAACTGTACGTGTACAGCACAAGTGTAGAACCAGTGGGAGAGCCTAGCCACTTGCAGCGTTACATATGTGCGTGCATCTGAAACCCTGATCCGTGCCCGTGACGGGAAAGTAAAAGAACTGCATCCAACCGATGGGATTGGCTGGCAACTTTGTCCCATCACCAAGGTTCCACTTCCACTCAGACCAGTGGTAAACTCAAAAACCAAAGATCACATAACCAGAGCTCATTTTGAAGTGGAGCAACAGAAACAAGTTGGGATAAGCAGCAACCCATACTTGTCCAGCCCATTCTACAGAGCTCCAACTTGGAGTTGTGCTAGTACAAGAGGTGCTTGGCTTCTAATAGTCACTACAGTCGTCTGTTCCAGCCACAGAGCACAGCAGGACTAGAAGTTGGAACTCATGTCAGACTGTTTCGGCAAGTTAGGCTGCATTGCTTCAAACCTGCAAATTTTGGATTCCACGCGGAGTTATTCAATAATGCCTTCAATAATTTCTGTTTGAAACCTGCACAGCAGGAAGTTCCTGCTAGTAGCAGAACTGGTAGATTAGGGCAACTTATCAATCTAGCCTCGTCCTTGCAAACCGGCTTCCAACAGCACAAGTGGTGCGCGGAGCTAGCAGCAGCATCGTTGGCTTCAAAATCGACTGGCCTTCAAAATCATACACATCTAACTGCGGCAATTGTTGTTGGTGTTGTTGTTGTTGTTGTTGGTTTTTTTTTTTTTTTTTTTTTTTTTTTTTTTTTTTTTTTTTTTCGGTTGTTTGTCTTAGTACATCTAGTAGATGTCACAGAAGCAGATTCTACCGCAGCAATTTCAAGAGCAGCAGATGCAACCGGAGCAGATATCATAGCAACAGATGCCACAGCAGATGTCACAGCTGTAGTAGATGTCACAGCTGGAGATGGCACTGCAGGAGAAGCCAAAGCATCATATGTCACAGCAGCTGCTGCTACAGCAGCAGATGCCACAGCAGAAGATCTCACAATAACAGATGCCACAGCAACAGATCTCACTGTCACAGCAGCAGATGTCACAGCAGCATATGTCACAGCAACAGATGCAACAGGAGCAGATGTTGCAGCAGCAGATGTTACAGCAGCAGATGCCACAGCAACAGGTCTCCCTGTCACAGCAGCAGTTCTCACAACAGCAGTTATCACAGCAACTGTTCTCACATCAGCAGTTCTCACAGCAACAGTTCTCACAGCAGCAGGTGTCGCAGCAGCAGATGCAGGAGCAAAACTACACAAAGATGCTGCTACAGCCACAGCCACAGCCACAGCCACAGCCACAGCCATTGCCACAGCTACAAGCTCAACCAATGCAGCTACCACCACACCAGATACAGCAGCTCTCATCACAACTACAGCCACTGCTACAGCCAAAATTGCAGCAAGGACAAGTAGAACAAGGTGAGGCTGCAACTGGCGCAAGGTCATCAGGGCGAGCAGCTAGTCGCACCAGATTGCCGCGCAGCCACAACTACAACCAGCCAGGGCAGTACCGGGGAGTGCGGAAGCGAGGAGAGTTTCGTTACATTGCGGAGATTAAAGACACCAATACCAGGGTCCGCAAGTGGTTGGGCACGTTCCCTTCTGCAGAGGAGGCCGCTCGCGCGTTTGATGAAGCTGCTTTCAAAATCCGAGGAGCAAAGGCGAAGCTTAACTTCCCAGGAAGGTTTCTTCAGAAAGGGGGAGGGGCAGTGGTACTGAGTTCGGATCCTGCAGCCTCATTGGGTGCAGCAACTAGGATTGAAACAGCAGGAAGGGTTGCAGGGCAGGAGGGTGGAGAGACTGGCATGGGAGTGCAATCACATGGGGTAGTAACGCATGTTACGGAGGGCAGTAGTGCTAGGAGCTATGGGAGCAAAGGGAAGGAGGTAGTAAATGGTGAAGACACTGCAGCAGGGGGATTGGTGGGAGAAGGTGTGGGTCAGACGATGCAGAGAGAGGGAAGAGCTAGACAAGTGGAAGCGGCCTTTGCGGTGCCTCACAGGCCGTTCGGAATGGGATCAAGTAAGGAAGTAGCAGCGAGCTTTGCGGAACCTCGGAGGCCGTTTGGAGAGGGATCAAGTAGGGCTGTGACAGAATCAATAGACGATGCAGGTGCAGGATCAGAGGCCATAAAGCTAGTGTCAGCCGCACTGGTAGGAGGGGAAGGAGGAGGGGGAGGAGGAGGAGGAGGGGGAGGAGGAGGAGGAGGAGGAGGAGGAGGAGGAGGAGGAGGAGGAGGAGGAGGAGGAGGAGGAGGACGGGGAAGAGAAGGAGTCATAGGATTAGGAGCAGACACATCAGCAGGCAGTGATAGCGGGAGCAAAGCAGGAGGAGTATACATTCCTGAAAGAAGCTCCACTGTAAGCTGTAGTAGCTCGAGCTTTGCCGCCCCTTCCTCCTCCTCCGCCCCTTCCATATCTGTGAATTCCACCTCTGCCAGTTCTGCCTCTGCCTCCTCCGCCTCTCTCTCTGCCCTCCCATCCACCTTTGCTGATATTTCCATCCCTGAAGCTGCACTCACCAGCAGTCGTCTCCATGCCATCCCCCCCACTCACACCTCAGAAGACAATCCTGTGTTTAGTAACGCAACCATGGATCGCCTCTCAATACTGCCAGGGAATCTGCCAAGTGCCGCGGTGATTGGAAAGGGGTTGCTTGGACATGAAGCACTTGGAGCAGATCTGGGCAGGTTTGAGGAGATGGTGTTTGAGGAGATGGGGTTTGATGAAATGGGGTTTGAGGAGATGGGGTTTGAAGGCTTGACAGAAGGTGAGAGGGAGTGGACCTCTGATCTTGCGGAGCAGTTTGCTCAGCAGCTGGGGCGGATAGAAGAAACCGATGGGGCTGGAGGGATTGGGGTTGGTGTTACAGCAGGGAGGGAGGGAGTGGAAGAACGGGAGATGACTTCAGAGGAAGAAAGCAGTGGAAGCAGAGAGACTGCTGGTGGGGAAGGAGTGATGGAGGAGGAAGGAGGCGCAGGGGAGACGAGGACGGGAATGGATGAGCGTTTGGCGATGGAAATGGGGCCTTCTGATCGATACTTCCAGCTGCCTAGCTCTGAGGATTCGCCTCACGAAAGCAGACAGCAAGGAGGCGGGACAATCTCTGTGGGTGAAAAAGGCCGTGGCGGTCAACAGGGTCAACAGGGTCAACAGGGCGGAGGGGCAGGTGTGGTGGTGGGTGTGGCAGCAGGGGCAGGGGGTTCATCCTCTCATGCAGGCACGGAGCAGAGTCTTTCTCCAGTACGAACCACAGCACAGGCAGCAGGGCAGCACGCATTGCCAGCAGGGCAGCACGCAGTAACAGGGGCACAAGTGTTGGAAGGGCAGCAAGCGTTGGCTAGGCCGCAAACAGCAGGGCTGCCAGTCCCAAGCGAACCACAAACGGTTTCATGGGGTTTCAGTGTGGATGTGTCTGGGGGATTCATGACCCCTGGTGAGGATGGTTCTCTGAAAGAAGCGAAGGAGGAGGTGGAGGTTCCCAGCATGGCAGGTTCGGCTTCAAGTGTGCTTCCTAGCTGGCATGCTGATATGATGCAGTATGCTGCTGGCATGATGTCCGCGTTTGCGCCGTATCAGAGGGATGATCATGGCATGCGGTATGCTTTTACCATGTCCCGCAGATCTTCAGTGGTTGTGATTCCACACGTGCATCAGCAGCAGCAGAACCAGCAGCAGCAGTGGCAGCGGCAGCAGCAGGGACAGGAGGAACAGCAGGGGCAGCGGCATGAGCATCAACATGGGGAGCAACAGTGGCAGCAGCAGCAGCAGCAGCAGCAGCAGGGGCAGGGGCAACAGGAGGGGCGCCAACAGTGGCAGCAGCAGCAGCGGCAGCAGGAGAATGAGGGACAGGGGCAGCCGCAGGGACAGGACCAACAGCAGGCGCTGACGCAGTGGCAGCAGCGCCGGCAGCAGCAGCATGCATCGAGCTTCTCGCGACGCAGCTCTCTCAATCTGAAGGCTGGAAGTAGGGGCAAGGCAGCTGTAGACCTCATATGTGAAGCGTTACCCGTAGAAGAGTGGATAGAGCAGCAGGCGTTTAGAAGCCACACCCCAGACTTGGAAAAAGGCGCCCCGATCTCCAAGCTTTCCAGCCCTCCTTGGTCTGAACCTCAGCCCAAGACTCATTTCAAGCATCGTTCCAAACCTGCACCTCTGGTGCCTCGGAGCTACACTGTATCTTTCCCCTTGGAGCCACCTGTCATCAGTACTTCAGCCCCTGATACCCTGCCATGTGTGGGCAACATAGGTGGTGTGGGTGGTGGGAGCGGTGCTAGTGGTGCTGGCATTGCTGGTGGTGTGGTTGGTGTCGGTCCATTGGATGGTGTCCCTGCTGCTGATGCTGGCACCAATGTGGCTAGTGGGAATGGCTTGAATACTACCAGTGCTGCCGGTGTTGCTGGTGGCGCTGCTGGTGTTGCACCTGTTGCTGGTGTGGCTGGTGTCTCTGGTGTTGCTGCTCGTCCTGATGTGTCGGCGTTGGCACCCTCCCCAGCCACCTCTTTTGAGCCGAATTCAACTATCCCTGTGCACAGAGTGAGGCGATCACAGTCCCATGATCAGAGACCAATGGGAGCTGGACAGCTGGGCGGGCAACTCTTGCGCACGTCAACATTCCAGCCGATAGTTTCGGCCAGCAAGTATGTTCAAGAGCTCCAAAGAACGATCAAGAATCCGCCTTGGTTACCGGCCAGGAGGTACGGACGAGAGGTGTTACAGCATGGACGGTTGGAGAGGCAGCAGGGGTCGTCTTTGGATGATAATTGGATGGCACAGCAGCAGCAGCAGCAGCAGCAGCAGCAGCAGCAGCAGCAGCAGCAGCAGCAGCAGCAGCAGCAGCAGCAGCAGCAGCAGCAGCAGCAGCAGCAGCAGCAGCAGCAGCAGCAGCAGCAGCAGCAGCAGCAGCAGCAGCAGCAGCAGCAGCAGCAGAAGCTGTCGAATTCAATTCAGCAGCAGCAATTGCAGTCGGTGCACCAGCAAGAGGAGCTGGAACTGCTGCAGCAGCATCAAGAGCAGCTCCCTCTCTTCCATCATCATTTGTCCTTCCGCAGTCGGTCCACTCCCCCCATGAAACCTGCTGCTCTCACCTCCTCTGCTCTGACCTCTATGGCAGGGGTTTCTGGTGACGTTGCTTCTGGCGCTTCTGCTGGCACTGCTACTGGCTCTGCTGCTGCCACTGGCGCTGGTGATGTTGCTTCTGTCACTGCTGCCAGAGCTGGTGCTGGTGTTGCAGTCCCCCACCCGCACCGTCTCCCACCTTCCCTTACAGGGATCTCCCTGGAGCAAGATGCCTCAAAGGGAACCAGCAGCTACGGGACAGGTGGTGGAACCCTTAACCCTGGTAGCAGTGGTGGAGATGTAGAAATGCAAGAACCTGCAAAAGAGGACTTCAGGCCTGCATACAATGCTCGTGATACTGACCAGCCTACTGCTGGTCAGCTTTCTCATCCTCACCCCTCAGCCAACCTGTTGCTCCTGAGGGACACGGAACACTCTTCACTTGCTGCCTGGGGCCTCACCTCTTCATCTTCTCACATCCACGGTGCAGCCTGTCACAGCTTCGAGAATCATGTCAATTCGGTCCCCTTAATGGAGCAGTTGGGAGTCAACCAAGTAGGTTTTGAGGTTGGGGGACATGGGATTGATGCAGGAGAGTTGTATACAGGGGAATTTGAGCATGAAGCATCGCCTACCCCTGGTGCTGGAACCTACACCATTGATGCGCTCGAGAGGTTCTTGATGGATAATGGGGACCCTAGGGAATAAGGACAAAGTTGATTTTCATGTATTTAGCTCCTATTTATATTCGGTAGGCATATATTTGTTTGTTTGTTAACTTATAATAAAAGCGTGCTCATGTGTGTGTGTGTGTGTGTGTGTGTGTATGTGTGTGTGTGCGTGTGTGTGTGTGTATGTATGTGTATATATGTGTGTGCGTGTTTGTGTGTGTATGTATGTATGCATATATGTAGGTATGGTGTGTATGTGTGCGTGTATATGTGTGTGTGCATGTGTGTGGTGCGTGTGTGTATGTGTGTGCGCGCGCGCGCGCGTGCACATATAGGAAATGACAACAAAGAGAGTGATGGCCACGCGAGAGTGCACAAAGTGACCATCTGTTGTTCTTGGTAAGTGGAGTGGGTGAATGGGACTGCATCTGGTGTACCATGACTCATCCATGCCAAGCTGCTCCAACACTTGCATGCTGGCAGTGTCCCAACATGTCAATGCATATGATGGGGCAATCATGCCATGTGACCCATGACATCATATTATCATGACCTTATCCAGCCAGTCCATTATCATCCTATAATGCCACACACCCCAGCTTTTAAATAGGAAAGGACGAATTACAGGAGGGGCAGAGGAGACAGGGCCCTAGATATCAGACTTTAGAGTCTGAATCAGAGTCCGTTCAGACTTATTTTTGGTACTGTATACTCCCGGACAAAACACCCCCCCATAATTGTACACCCCCGGGTAGCTTGTGCGGGGTGGGTGTTATGATAGACCCCGTTTCCACTATACCCCCCTTTTTGCCTGATTTTCTATAACACCCCCCTTTTCTTACGGATTCATTAGTATAGTCGTTAACGAGTAGCTGCAATACGGAAGAATGTCGTGTGAATTTCTCCCTCAATGAAATTTCGCGGTACATTCAAAGGCAATCTGCCGAGATTTGCCCTCTCCCACTATTTCTCTGTTGCCACGTGCAGGTGAATCTTCCGTTGCAAGTGGCAAGAGAGGTGTCACATGGCATTTTCGTGAGGGCGATGAAGTTCGAGGCCGAAACTGACATTCGCACCTCAGGCAGTGATGCTAAAACGACCAGCAAAACACCCACATTGACTAATTAAAAAAACACTAACACTAAAATATGCCATATGTAAAGACCCGGGTATTATGTATTTTTTTCCTATGAGGAGACACCCCCCATTTTTTCCCTGTATTTTTAGGTATACCCTAGGGTGTTATGTCCGGGAGAATACGGTACCTAGTCTGCACTCTAAGATTTTTTTTGGGACCCTGTCTGATGTTTCAGAGTTTTTTTAACATACTTGTCTGTAATTTCACACTATTTTTAGTAGTGTAGGCTGTGCCTTAGACTTGTATCGAGGGTGCATTCTGAATCCGATAATACAGGGGCAGGGTCCAGCCTGGCGGCGCGGAGCAGTAACCCTGTCAATCACAGGGGGGAACCCACGATTTCGCCAGCGCGACAACTCACAGTTGCGTTGGTACAGCGTTGCTGTAATCCCAACCAATTCTGACCAATCGCGGCTGCGCCGCAGGCATTGTTGGCAAGATTCCTTGCCAACACATAGCTCGCCACGCACTGCACCTTCGCTGTACACCACGACCATCCACCACACCCCGCCTTCAATGTTGCCAGCGCATAGCTCGCAGCGCGCTGCCACTCTGACATCACCATGTCCATCCACCCCACTCCACCTTCCGAGTTGCCAATGCAGGGCTCGCACCGCGCTGCTTCTCTCACGTGACTCCATCCATCAACCCCAATCACCCCACCTTCCAAGGATTCACGCCCATGTGCAGTGCATGCAATGACCTTCTGGGAGATGGGAGGTCCTATTACACGAGGGTTTCTCATCTTCTTCTTGGTCACCGTTCTTGCAGTCTCTCTCATGGCCCGCTCCATTTGCCTGGACTCAAACTAGTGTAGGAGCCCTTGTTTCAGGCTCCCACCTCCTAGCTCGCTACACCTCTGCTCGGCAGGCTCAATGGCAGCTACAGAGGCTGTCGCGGATGGGCCCAACGATGAGGATGATGTAGTCGGTCGCCCAGTATCCGGCCCAGTATCCGACCCTCTCACCGGTCTAGATTTTCTTTGGTCTGTCTCACCGAAGCACAATCCATCTCCAACGCCACCGTTGCAACCTAGCTCGAGCCGCCCACCTATTCCCAGAGACACCACACCTCTGCACGAGGCCGTCACTGAACCAGCGACCGCTGCGCAACAGGCGGTGCCCCATGAGGCGTCTGTTGGTGCACCTTCTCGTCCCGCGCCACCGTCGAAGCTACGGTACCGGCAGTCCACCCTTGGTTGGGCCACTCCGCCTCCTCCATCGACCGTTGTGACTCCTGCGAGCGACGATTCTCCCATGCAGGACAGCTCCATGCCCACGCAGGGCAGCTCGAGGCCCACGCAGGACAGCTCAAAGCCCAAATCCGATAATCTTGAGTTGAAATACGAGGAAGCGCATGAGAGATTCAAATCGAAGTGCTCCACCAATTACAGTTGGCTTGTTCTAACTAAGACCTCTTCTGGTGCCCCTTCTTTCAAGTGCAATATTTGCCTGGAGTTTGTGGGATTGAATGGCAAGTGTGGGCGGCATACCAAGAGAGCTACAGACGTGCAGACATAGTCCTTCAAGAAGCACGAAGGGACGGTGAAGCACAGGTTTGCTCTGGAGCGCCAGGAGGACTTGCTGCAAAAGTATGGGCAGCAGCAGCGCATCGACATGCACCCGAAAGCACAAGACATGGAGCTGCTGCAGGTGTCGTCGCTCGTCGACTCGCTGTACTTCATGGGGAAGTGCAACGAGCCCATGGACTCGTGGATCCGGCTCGTGCGCTACCTGGCGAAGAAGAAAGTGCCCGGGTTTCCCGAGCAGGGATACGGCACATACTATAACACGTACGTAAATTCTTATGTGTGTCCCGTGTGTACAACATTGTATCCTTGCTGACCGTCACTAATGACCTTGTCTTCCTTCTGTAGGTACGGCTTTGGAGAGCTAACTCAAGCCATTGCGACATGGCTTCAGACAACGCAACTGGAGCACCTCCTCTCAAGCCCTTTCATCGGGATAACGCTCGATGAGAGCACCGACCGTCGGCGCGGCAAGCACATGATTGTGTTTGCCACGTTTCTCCGCGAAGGCCGAGTTGTCACTGAGTTCGTCGCGCATTTAACGGTTGATAGGGCTGACGCTGCATCTTTGTGCAGTTTGTTGCTTTCCCACCTCAGGGCAGTCGGCGTTGACCTCTGGCGTATCTCGGGAGTGAGCACGGATGTCGCCTCTGTGGGGAGTCAAAACGGTGTGGTTGCTCGTCTGCGACTGCTCATCCCCAACCTGGTCTCGTTTCACTACATCGCTCACAGGTACGTTTGTGTTTTAACGCCATGTGTAAACGGCAAATCTGTTTGTTTATGAAAAACTAACTGTGCATGTGTGGTTTTGTTTGGTAGGAAAGCCTTGGCTGCCAAGGCCGCAGCGGAGAAGATACCCACCTTCAACATGGTCGACGACGTGATCCGCGCCGTCGCAGAGTACCAGCGCCTCTGTCACTGCACTGCCCCTGCTCTACAGTTAGCGCTGCTAGTCTACTGCTATCATGGCTACCCCCAGTGTTCTCACTTTTGACGCTGAGGGTCGGGCCATTGACTTTGACGTCTGGGTAGATGACCTGCAGCTTTTCCTACAGTGCGATAGGGCAGACGGTCTCTCCCTATTTGACCTCACCTTTGGTGCCTCCCCTGCCCCTGCTACCGATGCCGATGCCACTGTTCGCTCACAGTGGGCCACTCGCGATGCTGCTGCACGTCTTGCTGTGCGTCGCCACCTGCCTACCACTGAGCGCGCACACTTTAGTCGGTACAAGAGTGCTCAGACCTTGTACGACGCTGTAGTTGCACGCTACTCTTCCCCTGCCACTGCTGCACTGAGCCGCCTCATGCTACCGTACCTCTTCCTTGACCTTGCTGCCTTTCCCACACTCGCTGACCTCATTACGCACCTCCGCACTAGTGACACTCGCTACCGCGCTGCGCTTCCTGCTGAGTTCTGCGCCAAGAACCCCCCCCCCATGTACATCACTCTCTACTACATAGTCACCCGCCTCCCTGACTCCCTTCGTGTAGTCAGAGACCACTTCCTCTCAGTCTGTCCCACCACTCTCACTGTTGACCTCCGAGTGAGTTTGTCTCACTGTTGACCTCCGAGTGAGTTTGACCTTGGATCCATGAGTTTGTCACATGATCCCCATGGGTCCTTTCCACTTCGAGGAAGTCAGCCGTCCCACTAGAATCTATAGTAGACTGCCTCTGGGACATTTTTCAAGCTCATCAGATTTCAAAAATCCTCGCAGCTGGCACAACGTTTAGTAATTCTAGCAGATAGTGTCCGAGTGCTGCAGCATACCCCAGCACTGGCAGTAATCTTTTCTATTGAACAGGATTCTATTCCATTCCACGCGGCGCTTGTTGAGCTTGATTCACCGTCACCAGCGGGCCTTCATTTCTTACAGAATTATTTTCAAAATGATTGATGAGCCGTTTGCTTCATACAACCTCCCCGGTTCACGTGAAAGGATTACAATTGGGAGTCAGTTTTGAGAAATATATTCTGAGAAAGCTCCAGTTCACGGTAACTCCTCCCTTCAAACCGCAGGTTTGTGTTCTGTAGGCGTCTTCTGGAGCAGGTTTAAGAGGCCACAGTGCCTTTGGGGATAGAAGGTGGGTGTATTCGCAAGGATGATGGTATCGCGATGACAAAATTCTGAGCCTTTCCCATACTATCTGACAGATAGTATCTGTTTTAGAGGCCACGGCTGGGTCACATCATGATGATCATCCCTTGTCAATACCGTATTGACAGTTTATACAATTCTGGAAAATGTTTCCAGACTTGGTCATGAGCAAGGCAGCGGCTTCTGTGGGCGTGTGGTAGTAGCAGTGCAATAGCAGATGGAAAAGAGACAAGCTGGAGAAGCGGAGGTTGCGTGATTTACGGTGGAAACAACAGATGCTGCAAGAGCCATCGCAACAGAGGCATATCATGCAGCCACAGCGGCAGCAGCAGTTGCAACAGCAGCAGATGCAGATGCGGTACCAGCAGCAGCAGTTTGCACCACAGGCAGTCTATACAAAACAACGGAAACAGCTACAGCCACAGCTACAGGTGAAGCAAGCGTTTTCAGAGCTACTGCCGCCGCTGCAGCCACATTTCCTACCGCAAGATGAGGCTGCTGCAGGTGCCAGCATTGGAGCAAGGCCATCAGAGTCTGGAGCCAATCGCACTGCGCTGACACGCAACAGAAACTACAACCAGCAAGGGAAGTATAGGGGAGTGAGGAAGCGTGGGGCGTCCAGCTTCATCGCAGAGATGAAGGACACCACTAGCGGGGTCCGCAAGTGGCTGGGCACGTTTTCATCTGCAGAGGAGGCTGCTCGGGCGTTTGATGAAGCTGCCTTCAAAATACGAGGATCAAAGGCAAAGCTTAACTTTCCACAGGAGTACATCAAGGAAAGGGGAGGAGTCATGAGTTTCAGTCCTCCAGAGCTAGTATCAGCGGCTACTAAGGTGGAAACGGCAGGAATGGAGGCTGGTAATATAGCTGGGAGTAATGGCCTGGGAGCTCTGGAGAGTAAGGATTCGTTAGGACGGGTTGGGAAGGGAGTTTTTATGAGCTCTGGAGCTCAAGGCGCTCTGAAAGGGAAGGAAGTGGAGTGTGCTGATGCTGAAGATGCTGCGGAAGGATGCTCGGTGGGAGTGGACACGCAGATAAAGTCGTCGCTAGGAGAAGGAACAAGCAGGGCAATGGGGACGGTGGCAGCGGAAATAGGTGTAAATCTAGGGGCTGTAGGTTCAGCCTTAGTAGTTGAAGCTTCAGGAGGGGGAGATGGAGGGGTGTGCATAGCAACAAAAGCGGTAGCAGTCAGTGTTCGGAGTAAACTGCCATACTCTCCTGATCGGAGCTCCAATGTCAAAAGCAGCAGCCCCGACAGAACCGCCCCTTTCTCCTCTGCTCCTTCAGCCTGTGTCTGTTTCTTACACCCCACCCTTCCTGCTACCTCTGCTCCATCGACCTTTGCTGATGTGCTACACTCCACCCTTCCTCTTTCCACTGCCCCTTCCATTTCTACTTCTTTCCTACACTCCGCCCTTCATGCTGCCTCTGCCCCTTCCATCTCTGATTCTTAGACTCCACCCGTCCTGCTACCTCTACTCCATCAACCTCTGCTGATGTGCTACACTCCACCCTTCCTCCTTCCGCTGCCCCTTCCATCTCTACTTCTTTCTCAGACTCCACCCTTCCTGCTGCCTCTGCTCCTTCCGCCTCCACTGATCTGCTACACTCCACCCTTCCTGCCACCTGGGAGTATAATGTCGCAGTATCTGGGAAAGTGACGATGCCAGGAGGGGAAGCATCCCTGAAAGGAGCAGAGGAGATGGTAGAGATACCCAACATGGCGGCAGGCCCAGCTTCAAACATGCTCACAAGCTGGCATGCTGAGATGATGCAGTGTGCGCCTGCCATGGTGCCCCCATTTGAGCCGCTCGGGAGGCATGACCATGGCATGCGGTATGCTTTTACCATGTCCCGTGTGTCTTCTGTATGTGTGAGTCCGCCCCGTCAGCGTTACCAGAAGCAATGGGTGCAGCAACGCCAGCGGCGGCGGCAGCACCAGCAGCAGCAGGAACAACAACTGGGGCCGCAGCAGGCTCAGCAGCAGAAACGGCAGCACAACCCGCAGCAGGAGCAGCAGCAGCACCATGCGTCAAGCTTCTGGCAACAGAACTCTCTGGATTTGACATCTGGCAGGAGGGGTAAGGAGCCTGCATGTAGCCCTTCTTCAGACCTCACAGGTGCACCTTCCCCGATGGAGTATTGGCGAGAGAAGAAGATGTTTTGGAGCCACACCACAGACTTGGAAAACAACCACACAGCCAACAAGACTTTCAGCCCTTCACTGTCAGACTCTCTACTCAAGCCCCACAATACGCCTCATTCCGAACCTGCACCTCCGATGTTTCGAAGCCACAGCGTGTCTTCCCCCCTGGAGCTGCGGGTTTCTAGTTCGTCAACCCCTGAGTCCCAGCCGTCTGTGGGAAACACTCGTGGTGTGGGTGATTTGAGTGCTGCAAGTGGTGCTTTTGCTGCTTGTGGTATGGGTGTTGTGGGTGGTCTGGGTGTTGCTGGTACAGCTAATAATGCGGGTGTTGCCAGTGCAGCAGGTGTCGTCAGTGTTGTTGGTGTTGTCAGTGCTGCAGGTGTTGCCAGCAATGTTGCTGTTGCAGGTGCTGATGTTGCCAGCAGTTACCAGGAGAAGCAGAAGCAGCAGCAGTCGCATGCCATGCAGCATAATGAGTTGCAATATTTGCAGCAGCAAGAGCAGTGCCACCACCGCCACCACCAGCAGTCACATCCTATGCAGCAGCAGCAGCAAGTGCCTCTCAAGCACTTCCAGCTAGCCCTTCCATCCCTCAATCATTCTCTTACCCCCATAACACCTGCTGCTCTGTCCTCCACCCTCACAGCTCCTACCAGCATTCCTGCTGACGTTTCTGGAGTCTCTTGGGCTGCTGCTGGCGCTGCTGCTGACTCTGCTGCACCCATTGCTAATAGTGCTGCTGCAGGAGTTCCGATCCTTCCTCCTCCCGTCCCTCCACCCAACATCTTTGACTGCACGGTCAGCTTGCATGGTTTCAACAGCACAGAGCTGGGGTGTGTTGAAGCCTTGGAGCATGCTGTCTCTGAGAGAAATATCTGCGTGGAGATTGGAGGTGCGGACAGCAGTGGTGGAGCGGTTTTCATGCTCGACTGTACAGCAGCACCAGGCTTCCAAGTGCCGTACAGAGTTGTTGCTGAGGAGTATCCCAGTGTGGACCAGACTGGTCTGGACCAGCATAGTGCAGATCAGCCTAGTGCAGACCAGCCTAGATTGGACCAGCCTAGTGTGGACCAGCCTAGTACGGACCAGCCTAGTGGGGACCAGCCTAGTGCGGACCAGCCTAGTGGGGACCAGCCTAGTGCGGACCAGCCTAGTGAGGACCAGCCTAGTGCGGACCAGCCTAGTGTGGACCAGCCTAGTGCGGACCAGCCCACTAGGGAACAAGATTGCAAGCATCAGGCATGTTCAGCCCAGCCTATTCTGGAAATGCACTTTGCTGAGAAGTTGTTTGCTGCCCAGCCTACTTCTGGCGAGCTGTGTTCTGCCCATCAGCATAACTTAGCGGATTTGGGCGTTTGTCTCCCTCACTCCTCAGTGGATCTGCTGTTTCTTGAGGATGAGCAGCACTCTGCATTTGCTGCCATGGATCTCACCACCCCATTTTCTCACATTGAGAAAACAGCTTGTTGTGCCTTTGAGAATTCTGCGTGCTCTGTCCCTTTTATGGGAGCAACAGGTGTAGGATTGGATATTGGGGGGCAGGCTATGGATGTAGGAGGGATGGGATATGCAGAAGCTTTCCAGCAACTAACTGTGAGTGCCACTGCATCATTGATCCGCTAGGAATGTATTTTATGGATAATGGGGAGATAGCATAATGGTGAGAGATAGATTGTGTTTTTCGATAGAAATATTCTTTCATTTAATCCACAAGAAAAAAAAAATAGCCAGGGCTGTAGAAATGGGACAAGAGACGGGTGGATAAGACACATGGACGAGACAAAAGAGGAAGGATGGGGAACAAAAGATAAATCCACTGGCTCTTGATTGGCTAGTAGCAAGCTATTTGTTCGGAGTGTGTGGAGTTCAATCAATGCGGAGAATGGTGACGAATGTTAAGGGTGCAGAGTAAGAATGTGTCTTCCCTCATGCTCAATAGTGTACTACTAGAAAATGAGAAACATCTCAGGGCGGTACTACTAGTCCAGCCTCTGTGGCAAGGAGCCATAAAGTCAGTTAGCAAGAACAACTGGGTGTATGAGCTACAACTTAGGACGGTACCACTAGCCGAGCCTTTTGAGACAAAGACCATAAGGCAATTCAATGGGTCTAACTACCGTCATCACCCGGATATAAGACAATGTTCAATAATAGACAGGGGTTGCCTATTATATGGGTGTCTCTTATAAACAGGCTAGCCTCATTATAAGATACCTATTTGTGTGTACGAGATAAGACATATGTGTCTTATAATCGAATCTGCAATATATTATAATGAAAACCGAAATACCGCGTACATTTTTACCCTTGCGACACGCGAATTATGCCACGTGCTGACTCACGATTTGCCCCTGCAAGTATTCTCCATGACGTGGCGTCCCGAACAATGGTTGCCGAAGTGGCATCTTCGCAACATCCACACTCATAATGAGAAACTATTTTCAAGATGTGTGAAAATATTTTAAACTAGTTAAAAAAAGTTTCCATTTATAACACTTATAAGACACCCAAAACCTCCCCAAATACAAGATAACCCAAACTTTTTTTTAGTGTATGAGATAAGACATATATGTCTTATATCCGAGCAATGACGATAAACAAAATCAAACCTAGTACTGTAAGTGTACTGATATCAAGATTCTAACAAGTGATGTACTGCAAGGATAAGGCCAACTGATGATGATCACGAGGCGGGAGCACCTTAGTGAAGTTAGCATTGGTCCATGATGCCAATTGCACTACGCGTGCCTGGCCGTGCTACTGCAACTTATGCAGCAGTAAGTGCCGCATATGGTGTCAAATTATATGTGTTACATATATGTTGTGAAAGAACAAGGAATGATTTGCATTGAGAAGCATGAGGAGTACAAGTAGGAAACCCTAAAGTGTTGTACCCCATATGAGCTACCCCACTAAAGCCTACACAGACTATAGCATATAAGTCTGACACACCCCCATAGCCAAAGTGGGGGGAGAACAAGAGGTCACAAGACCAGTCAAGAGAAGCAAGGCAAGCTCAGGGTGGATCACAACGTCACCACACAATCCGAGCACAAGCACAAGGCCAGAAGGCCAGTTCACATGCAGAGTTATATATCAAGATGGACAAACAAGGCAGTGATCTCAACCTAGCAAAGGTAAGCATGCAAGTGCAGGTATATATAGATCACAGTACAAGCAAAGTCAAGAAGTGAGCAAGTGAGGCCAAGTAGGCACAAGACCTAGCATAGTACAAAAGCGCTGATGATCACAAGGCGCAAGTGCCTTGGTAAAGATATCAGCAGTGTAGGCCTCAGAGGCCACGTAAGCAAGGTGCAGCTGACCGCACTGCTGCAGCTCACGAGCAAGGAAGTAGCGAAGAGCAATGTGCTTTGTGCTGTGCTACAGTCTGTGTTCCCGACACAAGGCCAGCATGGCCTTGTTGTCTACGTACAGAAGTGGAGGAGAACGAGGCGGCTCTCCTAGGTCAGTCAGCAGGTAGGTGAGCCAGCGTAGCTCCTGTGCAGCCATGGCCCCCGCGTAGATCTCAGCCTCACAGCTGGAGCCGAGAACAGAAGACGAGCGGGAAGACCGCCACGAAACAGAGCCGGAGCCAAGGCTGAAGGTGTAACCCTGTGACGACCGCTGCGTAGCCTGGTCGTCAGCCCAAGAAGCGTCTGCGTGACCTGTGAGGACCACTGGACGTCGTCCTCCAAGCACTAGCCCCATGCCCGACGTACTGCACAAGTAGCGCAACACCCTCTTCGCTGCAGCCATGTGCTCTGGTCAGTGTCTCCCAGGAGCAGCATAGCGTGCCAAGATGCTAAGAGGGTATGCAAGGTCAGGTCGTGTGTAGGTCATCAGGTACATGAGACAGCCAACAAGCTCTGGATACGGGCCACTCGGCTCTACGGACTCATCCGAAGGCAGAGCTGAGAGCGATTGGCGAGTAGATAGAGGAGTGGCCTGAGGCGAGGAGTACGTGAAGTCGAAACGCTGAAGGACCTGCTGCACCATGTGTGACTGAGTTAGGGTAATGGTGCGTTGTGCTCTGTCCTGGGTGATCTGCAAGCCAAGGTAGCTGCGCAACTCACCCAGGTCTGTGCACGTGTGTCTCTTCTGCAGCTCGGACTTCACGTGGGCGAGTCCAGCAGTGTCAGCAGTGGCAAAGACCAAGTCGTCGACGTACACGAACCGCAAACGGCCACAGAAAATGGGGAGCAGCCGCATGGATCATAGACGTACGAGCGACGTCCATGACCATGCCAATGCGGCGCTCAGCAATCCCATTTTGCTGTGGAGAGGCCGGAAGCGTGAAGGTCTGGCGGATGCCCTGTGCACGACAGAAGGCTCCCAGACGGGCAGAGGAAAACTCCCCTGCCTCTATCAGAGTGCAGACGCAGAACAGGAAAGTCCGAGCCGAAACTCTCTCTGAGCTGGAGACCAGCTGCGCGGATCCAGTCGATCAACACCTCAGTGACGTCACCCTTACTGCGCAAGGGGAACACCGTGGTGTAACGTGAGTAGTCGTCAACCACCAATAGGAAGTAACGCTCGTGACCCTGGCCACGGACGCGGGCGGGGCCCCACACGTCTATCTGAAGAGTCTGCAAGGGAGCCTCTGTCAGAGGAAACTCTGAGGAGTGAGGGGCGGCGCGCTGCCGCCCCTCGAAGTAGGGGACGCAGGTAGGGGCAGGCCCTGGAGGTAAGGGGGGGGAGGGACCGGGGAAGACCAGAGACAAGGACACGTGAGGCCATGCCTCGGAGACGAGGCAGGGAGGGGTGACCAAGGCGATTGAGACAAAGGAGAGTCTGGTGGGACAGCAGACGACACGAGCAGGGCGCAGACTCAGGACCAAACCTGGACGCTGCAGCAAACACCTGACTCGACGCATCTACCTGACCAGACTCAGCAACAGGAGGAGACTCAGTGGTCAGTGTGTACAGGCTCGACCCCGGCTGACGGGTAAACATGGCCAAGTGTCGGCCCGTCTGAGCACACGTACAGTGGGTCACCCGCTGACTCGCAGGCGTGAACTGGTCAACCCACCGATCCTGTAGATCAGCTCCACTCACCAAGTTCCTAGAGAACGAGGGGAGGTAGAGACCTGACAGGGTGCCAGAGGGGGCTGCCGGACACGGTAAGACAGTGGAGAAGCTAGCAAGGACAGGACCCCCAAAGGGGTCCTCTAGGGAGACCGCAACTGGTCGACTAAGCGGCGTAAGCGTGGTGCGGTCTCAAAAGAAGGAGCGGGAAGCACCCGAGTCAAAGGTGAAGGTGTGCAAGGCCTGAGCCGACGTGGTACCTGAGAGAGCAGACTCACCAGCACCTGGGGAAGTAGACGCACTAGCACCTGGAGCAGCAGCCTCACCAGCATCTAGAGCAGCAGCCTCAATGCCCGGGTCAGGCGGAACGCACAGGTAACAGTCACCCTCATCACTAGTAGACACAACATACATGGCAGCAAGAATAGCGTCAAAGTCAAGATCAAAGATAGCAAGCCCCGCCCTAGACAGCTCTCCCCAGCGAGGGATCTCAGTGGCGTCAGAGAACTGATGACGCCAAGCATCCGTCAGGCGGCCGAAGCAGCGCTGGGTGGAGTGGGTGCCCCCGCACTGCTCACCAGCGCGGTCGCCTGTACGGAGGACGTAGGTGCAGGGACCATTACCCCCACCCCGCTGACGCCCACCGTACCAATCACGAAGCTGCTGAGGGGATAGGGTCTCACGACCGAGCTGCTGATGCTCGTGCGGACCACCACCGGAGCCACTCCTCTGCGCAGAGCCGCGACCAGCTCCACCGCTGCCTCCGCCACCTCCGCCACCTCTGCCAGCTGCACCACCTCCGCCGCCTCCGCCGCCTCCGCTTCCTCTGCCACCACCACCGCCTCCTCCGTCTCCAGTGCTGCCACCGACACCTCCGCCCCCGCCACCACTCCCACCACCACCCCCACTCCCTCCACTGCCTCCACCACCACCTCCACCGCCCCCACTAGCCCCCCCAACGCCCTTGCCCCCCTTGCCCTTGCCGGTGCGGTGCTTCCCGCTAGGGGTAGACGCATCGCCGACCGACTCGAAGCCAACGAGGTCGGCCGCAGCAGCAAAAGCAACAGAGGGCAAGAGGGGGGAGGGAGAACACCCCTCAAAGACGGGGGTGCGAGGGTCACCACGAGAGGCTCCTACAACGACTATGCTCTTCTCCGCTGCTAGGAGGCACTCCTCGAGGAGGTCAACGGTGAGTGTGGTGGGGCAAACTGAGAGGAAGTGGTCCCTGACTAAGCGAAGGGAGTCAGGGAGCCGGGTGACTATGTAGTAGAGGGTGATGTACATGGGGGGGGGGTTCTTGGCACAGAACACAGCAGGAATTGCAGCGCGGTAGCGAGTGTCACTAGTGCAAAGGTGCGTAATGAGGTCAGCGATTGTGGGAAAGGCAGCAAGGTCACGGAACAGGTACGGTAGCATGAGGCGGCTAAGCGCAGTAGTAGCAGGGGAAGAGTAGCGTGCAACTACAGCGTCGTACAAGGTCTTAGCACTCTTGTACTGGCTAAAGTGCGCATGCTCAGTGGTCGGTAAGTGGCGACGCACAGCAAGACGTGCAGCAGCATCGCGCGTGGCCCACTGTGAGCGAACAGTGCTGTCAGCAG